ATAAGTTAAGCCCCTAAATTAATCCCAAAATTGTTATTAAGCCCCTAAACTTTAATTTATGCAGTTAAGCCCTTGAACTCTGGAATCAAAGCAATTAAGCCCTTCTTTTTAAGCAATTTATTTTAAAAATTAAAGTATAGGTGCTTAATAGCATAAGAAGAAGGGCTTAATTGCTTTGATCCTAGAGTTTAAAGGTTTAATTGCATCAATTAAAGTCTAAGGGCTTAATAGCAATTCTAAAATTAGTTCAGGAACTTAATTTATGGTTTTACCAAAAATGTTTTTTTAATTAGTACTGTATAGGGATGGCAATTTGCCCCGATCCTCGCGGGGCCCCGTGGGGATCCTCGCCACGGGGATGGGGCGGGGAGGAATATTCCTCCCCGTGGGGCGGGGACGGGGAGTATTTTCTCCCCGTGAAAATTTGTAGGGAATTTTCCCCGCCCTGTGGGGCCCCGTGGGGATCCCATCCCTGCCAAAAATTAAAAAAAATATGTAAATTAGTCTTATTTTAAATTTAATTCAACTTTCAAACCTAAATCCAATTCAATAAAATTTAAATTTAATCCAATTTTATCCAACCTATTATTAACTTTTTAGTTATTTATGTTAGATTGATCTTTATTTATATTTGGATAATTTATATTTAAAGAATTTTAATTAATTATACTTAAATTTTTAAATTTTATTTATTATAATTGAATATTAATTATATATAAAAAATTTATTTTTTTATATTAATTGGTGAGGAATGGGGATCCCCGCGGGGAATGAGAACGGGAATTGAGGGCAAAATTTACCCCCCGTTAAAAATTTTCGCGGGAATACCCGTCCCCGCTATTTACGGAGACGAGGATGGAGAGGGACTCCCTGACCCCACGGGCCCCGTTGACATCCCTAGTACTGTAGGATAACTTCATCTTCCTTTGCACTGTATACATATGGCTTTTTATTAATATAATATTTCTTTCCATCAGGAAAAAGTCTCATCATAAAAAAGTTTCATAATTTTTAATTTTTTAAAGAAAATTTAAGTAAAATTATAAATTATCTTTAAATTTTTAATTTGTATATAAAATTAAAAAATACTTATTATTTTGAAACAAAAAAGAGAGCAAGTTCTAAGTTTTTTTGTACTACTTTAATAAATCCAATTAGCTAAAGTGGGTGGCCTTCTATTTTAACAATAATCAAATTATTAAGGTTAAATAAAAAAATATTTTTTTAAAATATAAAAAAATAATTATCATTTTAAGATAAATTTTAAATTAAAAACAATAATTGGTGTATATTTTAAGTTAAAATATTATATAACATATTTATTAAAAATTATTTTTTTAATTTAAATTTAAAGATAAATAAATTTAAAAATACAATCATATAAATAAAATATAAAAATTGACTAATTGATTATATTTATATTATATTTTAATAATTAAACTCAAATAAATATTAAAAAAAGTTAAATAAAGTGTGTATCAATTATTTTTAATTAAAAATATATATTAATTTAAATAAAGAGAGCAATTTAGAATTAAAAATTACGGGGCTTAAAAATAAACAAATTAAAGTACTACTTAATATGGATTATCCTTAACTATATAATTTAATTGAATAAATAATTATATATAGAAAGTTATTTTTTATTTAATAATTTTTATTTTATAATTTAATATAATTTAAATTATAAAAATAAAGACTAAAAATAAAATTAAAAAAAGTCAAATTTAAAAATATATGAAGAAAACTATAGGGACCCATAGCCTGACACCGATCCGTCTCAATCAGTAGGGCCGTTTCCCATTTGGCTGTTCCCACTTTTTCAACATTAGCGGGCAAGAGGCGGTGAGTAAGGGCTAAAAAGTCTTAACTCTTAAGAGTCGGCGAGTAGGGCCGTTTCAAATTTGGCTGTTTTCTATTTTTTCAACAGTAGTGGGCAAGATGTAGCAAGGGCGCGCTAAAATGTCTTAAGAGTCGATAAGTAAGGCCGTTTCAGATTTGGCCGTTTTCCAATTTGTCAACATTAGCGGGCAAGAGGCGTTGAGTAAGGGCCAAGGAGAGGGGCAGTAAGTAGGGCCGTTTCCCGTTTCTCCAGGAAGCGATTTGAAAACTAGACTTGGGAATCTTATTAGCCATTTTTTTGTTTGTTCGGATGCGACAGACTAACAACAGCCAGCTTGTGCGCAGAGTGCCTATCCTGTGCCAGGTTGTCGACAGCAACTTGTTTTTTTTTTTTTTTTTTTTTTTGGAACAGGGAGAAAATTGTAGGGTCTGGAATTTAAACCCAAGTCCTTATGTTTATGTCCAACCTGTTTCATTCGTCAGTGGTAGTCTAGTCCTTCGTCTTAGAAAAATAAATGTTTTTTATTTAAAATTTATTTTAAAATAATAATTATTTTTACATATGTTAAAAAAGAAATATTTTTTATTTGAATTTTATTATTATTTTATTATAAAAAAGTCTTATTATTTTTATTTTTTATAAATAATATAGATAAAATTAAAAATTTTTCTTAAATTCTTAATTTATAAATAAAATTAAAAAAATTTATAATTCTAAAACAGAGGAAGGAACAAGTTCTAAGGTTTTTTTACTACTTTAAAGTTAGAGATGATAATTTCCCCCCGAATCTTGTGAAGTCTTGTGAGAATCTCTGTCATTGGGTAGGTTGGGGAAAAATATTCCTCCCCATGAGACATAGACAGGGTAAGTATTTTCCCTATGAATTCTTGTGGAGAATTTTTCCCATCTTGTGGAGAATTTTTCCCATCTTGTGAGGTTACGTGGGAATCTCATCCCACGAAAAATCTAAAAAATATATAAATTAATTTTATTTTAAATTTAATCTAACTTAATATATCAAATACATTTCAAATTTAACTCAATTATTCATCTTTGATTAATTTTTATTTATATTTAAATAATTTATATTTGATTTTATCACTTGTCTATTGACTTTACTAGTTACAATTAATTGTATTTTTATAGTCCGACAAGGTAGAATCTAGATATTATTACTATTATACAACGAATAAATCTGTTGTTTTAGTTATTTATATTGGACTTATCTTTATTTATATTTGGACAATTTTTATTTGATTTTATGTTTAAAAAAATTTAGTTAATTGTGTTTGAAATTTTAGAATTTTGTTCATTATAATTAAATATTAATTGATTATATGTAAAAAAAATTATATTTTAATATAAATTGGTGAGAAATTAGAACAAAGGCAAATCTTTCCCCATCCCCACCTTTAATAGGAATGGGAACAAAGAAGGACTCTCCAACCCAGTGAAGCCTTATTGTCACTCCTAATTAAAGTGAGTGACCTTTTATTTTAATAATAATCAAACTACTAAAGTTAAAATAAGAAAAAAAATATTTGTCATTTTTAAAATATAAAAGGGATTATTACTAGAGGATAAATTTTAAATTAAAAAGGATAGTAATTAATAGATATTTTGGTTCAATAAATTACATAACATATTTATTAAAAATAATTATTTTTTAGTCTAAAATCAAAAATAAATAAATTTTAAAATACAATCATATATACAAAAAGTAAGAATTAACTCAATAAATTATATTCATATTATATTTTAATAATTGAATTAAAATAAATATAAAAAATATATTAAATCTAACATATACTAATTATTTTTATTAAAATATATATATTATTTTAAAATTAAGAAAGTAATTTAAAATTAAAAATTACAAGATCTAAAATTAAATAAAAATATTATATAACATAAATTATACTTAACTGCATAACGTAATTGAATAAAGTTAAAAATTATTTTTATTTAATAACTTTTATTTTATAATTTAATATAATTTAAATTATAAAAATAAGGCTCAAAAATTAAAAAAAAAGTCAAATTTAAAAATACTTTTGTTTTAGAAAGAGAAAAACTATTGGGAGTGGGACCCATAGCTTGACACCGATCCTTCCCTGTAGCAATATTGGCATTGCCGTTTCTCAAAAGGCAATTTCAAGAATTGACTTGGAATCTCGCTAGTCCTTTTTTTTTTTTGTTCGGATTTGCAAATCTACTTAAGTTGTCAAAATCAAGATTTTATTTAAAATTGTTTTAAATTGATGAAATTAAAATCTAAAATTTAGAGTTTATTAGATTTAATAAATAAATAATAAAATCAACCAGGCTTGAGGCCCAATGGTTGGTCCCAAGTCTTAGGGTTTCGGTGAAGTGGAGTTCAGGGTTTCGAGTCTTACCACCACCGTGAACTCCACCAACTTGCAACCTAATGGTCGCGCGCCTCATATGAGGGGTGGAACGTTCACTATCCTGAAAAAATTTCAACTGCTAATAAACTAACTCTAACTTCCTAACCATCTACTGGTTAAAAAAAAAAAATAAATAATAAAAATTTATATTTTTATATTAATATAATTAAAATTTAATAATAAAAAATTAAATATAATATTAAAATTTACAATAATTTTAATAAAATTAAATTTTAATATTATAATATATGATAATATAAAAATTTAAAAATAAAAAAACTTTAAAAAAATTATGGGTTAAATTAAATTACACTTACTTACCTGGCTATTTTTTTATCCAAAATTTTTTAAAAATATATATAAAAACAAACATCCAATCCCACACTCACGCGTGTCAACATAATCCCCACTAAAATTGATACCCACCCCACCCCTCCATCCCTTCATCCCTTCGATTTCCTTGGTTTCTACGCTGTAATTTTCCCTCATTTCTACCATTTCTCCTCCATTCAAGCTCTCTTTCTCCTCATCTACTGTCTTTTTTTCCAACAGATTTTATCCTTCTTTGCCTGAGCAATAAGCAGGGCCAACAACTTCTTTGCTTGAGCAGTGAGCAGCGGCGTCAGCAGTCCTTCAGCTTCCTTGGTTTCTCCGCTGTAATTTTACCTCATTTCTACCATTTCTCCTCCATTCAGGTTCTCTTTCTCCTCATCTACTCCCTTTTTTCCAACAGATTTTATTCTTCTTTGCTTGAGCAATGAGCAGGGCCAGCAAGTAAAGAAGATCAGAGATCAAATTTTATGTCTGGATTTTGGAAGCATTTTCTTCAATTTTTGTGGAAGTAAAATCGAGATTTCAAACGATTTTACTGCTAAATTGCAATTTTACGTTCTTATTGCCCGATTTTATGAAAATCAGATTTTAATATAGATTTTACTCGAAATATATATTTAAGATCGTAAAATGGGACGATTTTACGACTTATAACGCGATTTTGACAACACTGAGACTAACTATAGCCAGCTTGTGCGCATTGGTACAGGTTGTCGATGGCAACTCTTGTTTTGGAAAATAGGCAATGGATTTGTCGATATCAACTTGTTTCATTTGTGAGTGGTAACCCTGTTCGAAATTTTTATGTGTGCTACGGCTAATTGTATTTAATTTTTAAAAATTGGGTCAAATGAAAAAATCCGTAAAGCTAAATAAAAGAATCTAATTTAAGTGAGTCTAAGTTTTATCTTAGTTTTATATAGTATGATATGAATAGGTGTAAAATCTTAAAGTAAAAGTGTGCTACTTAATGGGGTGTCAAAAAAATTATTATAATGGGTTAGGTCTCTCTCATTCAGAAAATCCTACTTCTATAAATAGGAGAGTTATGGAGTGACATGACTTATTGGTTATCATTATATAAAAATTGTCAAAAAATCCTACCTCTATAAATAGGAGAGTTATGGAGTGACATGACTTATTAGTTATCACTATATAAAAATTGATTAGGAAGATGAAGACTTAAATTTTAATATTAACTATATTTATTTTATAGATTTTGTCATGAGATTTTTAATTATGACGATTCTTGAAAATTTTTAAGTAATATATTAATTAAAAAGATCCAGGTATACAATATATTTATTTTATTAGATTTTGATATCATAAATTTTACGTATATTGATCCTTAAAAAGAATCCAACATGTGGTATTAGAGCATGTTATATGTAGATTTAGCATCCAAGTCTTTTATTTTAATATGGTTTTCGCGCTAATTCAATGAACCGATTAAGATTTTCGATCTTGATATTATACACTTAACTTATATAATTAAAATTAAAACAGAGGTTATGTAATTGGATAGTCAAAACTTTAAAAGATATAAAATATATCTGTAAATCCATTTGTATGAGTCGAATTTTGTGTTCAGAGTTTTGACTTTGACTAATTTATAAAAACTCAAGAAATTTATGTTAATATTAATGTGTCTTAATCGGATTTTATGTGTCTCTAATTAAATCTATTGATTTTGGAGACTGGAGAGTGGTTCATGGGTCAAGAAATTGCAGAAAACAGGTCTTAAAACCCGTTGCAGGTCTAAGATTTTGAGAAATTTTGATTTTCTTTTATTTTAATCTCTTACTAATAACTTGTATAAGTAGGTGCGTAACATCTCCTTAATAAATAAAATTGGGTTTTGGAATCCCAATTTGAATTAGAGCAAAAGAGTAGATCGGGGGTGGAATCCCAATTTGTTAAGATCTCTAACTAAATAAGTAAAGAAATAAAGGGAAAGGTAAAACGCAGAAGGTAGGGGCCATGAGAAACTATTGTGGCAGGGATGATTAATGATTAATGGGAAAACTGTTATTTGGTCCCTTAGTAATTCTGCTTAGTGTAAATCTGTCCCTAGTGGTCTAATAAAGTTACAAATTAATACTTAGATATTAAATTTAAGATTAATTAATATTTAATCTTTTTCTCTTTCTCATATTTAAAATAATCTTCATGAATAATTTTGTGATATGGAGGTGAATTTAGTTGAATTTTTTTGGATTTATGAGTTTATATTATGATATTTTTTTGTTATTTATTGCCTTATTTGAATTGGTCAATTTTAAAAGGAGAAAAAAAAAAATGGTTTAGGATTTGGAATACTAATAGAAAGTGAAGAAAAGGAGTTGATTAGGATTGGGTATCCCAATCTGTTAAGGAGTTCAACTAAATTAAAAAGAAATATAAATAGAAGTTGAGGGACCAGTGTTGTTATTTTACCATTCTTAGAAATTGCATGATGATCCAAAAGTCCGACACGGACTGGTTTCTTCCACAATGAGTAAAGGTGTCGACACATAACCAGTTAGAAGTTATTGTGCAAATCTTACACAATGTAAGGGTGTCGACACTTACAGTAATTTGCAACAATTAAGCATTGGGTGGTTTTAAACCTTTGGATATTGTGTATTAAAATTTATACATAATATATCAAATTTTATGTGAAGAATATCTATTAATATAATATTATTTTAGATTATATGTGCATAAAAAATATTTATTATGTGGTTTGATTTTATAAAATTAAGATAATTATTTACATAATAAATATATATTAATTCATTTCATCTAAATTAAAATAAATATTAAGTGTAACACATAAAATATGTGTCAATATTTGGAAGTTAAAGATATATGGTTAGTGGCAAATGAATTATTGATAAGATATGTTTTTCATGTTTTTTGGTTTGAAATAATTTTGTGAATATTATTATGTATATGATATATGTTTCTTGAAGATTAAATTTCAAGATTTTGTTAAAACAATTATTCACAATTAGAGGTACATGACTTTATATACTCATTATTTATATAAGTAATATTCTTGGATTAAAGTTCTTGAAATTGGTTATACTACTCATTTGCAAAATTTTTAAGTTTGACTATTAATAAAGAAATTTATGGTTATAAATAAATGAGTAGATAATTGTGAAACTTTAGTTTTCATTAAAGATTACTTACCTTTATCTGTAGTTTAGCATATGGGTTTCTTAGCACTGTGTTTTCTAATAAGGAAATCAAGGGTCCATATTTAGATGTAAAGAACATATTTACAGTTGTTAAAAAACTATCTATGCATAGTTAATTTACATAAATAGAAGGTATAATTGTTATTTTCTACTAATTTTATGGAAGTTAAGAAAATTTTCAAAAAATATGTCTTAAAGGTGCATCAAGGAATGTTGAGAATTATAGTTTCAAAGATTCGTCAAGTTGTATCAAGACAAACTACAAAAGTACAACCATGCAAGGTAACTGAGTATGATTTTACTCATATTGATATTTTATTTAAGATAAAGTTATCTGTTTTCATATGTGGGTTCTAGCATATAAATTCTATAAAGAGGTTTTGTGGAATTAAAGTTTGAGTATCTTATGACATATAATTTAAGGCTAAATCATTGATTTTATAATAGATTTTGCTGGTAATTAATTACTTTCAAAGAATAATTATATGTGTCTATTACGCATATTGGTGATAGCCTAATTATGGTAGTGCATGAAGTTTTTTCTTAAACCTTGAAGAAAAGATATTTGATAAAGTTTTAAGAATTTTAGAATTTGTGTATCTTGGTTTATTTAAGATACTGAAGTAATCCTACATGATTTTCTTTGAGTATTAGAGTAAGGGAATCATTGAGTATTGAAACTGTTTTTTAGAAGTTTTAAGATTCTCTCAATTCATATATTAAAGAATTATCATCATTAAAAAAGTACAAAAGATGATTGAAAAAGATTATAGAGCTATATATATAGATGATAGTCTTAATAATATTTTATGATTAATATGAACATCAAGAGTTTATTTATTAGGACTAATGATTTTTGCCACTTAAGATTTTTTCTTGGGATATTAAGAAATTTTGTTCTAGTGAGAGATTGGTTAATCTTCCAATAAGGATTCTGGAATGTTATATTATTTATGGGTAATTGTTCCAATGGAAGCTTGTGAGTTGATGTGGATGGTACAACCAAAGTAAACCATTTATTAAGATTTACATGTTTTTCAATAAGGATTCTGTAATGTTTTATTATTTATAAGTAAATGTTTTAGTGAGAGTATGTGAATTGACGTAAGTGATACTGCCAAAGTGAGTCATCTATTAAATTCATATATTTCTCAACAAGGATTCTAGAATGTTTGCTTCTTGAAATTAGTATGTATGATTACTTGTCCAAAAGGGGTAATTGTGCATATTGATTGAAAGAAGTGTGAGTGGTTAGTAAGAGTTTTTTTATTCTAGTTTTATAGAGAATTTTCTGCACAAAGGGGATTATTTTCTATGAGGCAATTCTTATTAATTCATTTGTAATAAAACTTTTGAAGTTTAATAAAGTTCATATCAATTAGTTATATTAAATTACTATGCCATTAAAATTAGTTGATATATTGGGAAGATCACATATGAACTATTAAAGTTAAGGTATAAGGTTGCTATTTCCATATTAATGCATGCAAGATTCTACCTAAAGATGATTGTTGTATGTATTGATTTAAAGTAGCGGGAGCAATTAGTAAGGATGATAAATATTTATTCATATTTACTAAAAGTTAATTTTCTTACTAATTGACTTGTCAAAGTTTAATTTTATGGACTTATTTAATCAACATAAAATGCAAATAAAGTATAGTTGTGTATTGAACTCTTGTAAGTTAAAGTGAATCATGCTATAAATTAAAGCATATTATGAGATATTTTTATGGAAACAAAGTTTTATTATTAAAATTATACTGTCAATGTGCAATTGGTATTAATTTATGTATCTTTTAAGTGATTCATATTTTGATTGCTTAAGTTTTGATTAAGTTTGGAGATACATGCTTTTTAGCATGATGGATTTGAATTGTATAATATTAATATTTTGTTGTTCAACTAGAAAAATGGTAAAAAGGAAGGCATTAATAATTATGACAAAAGTAATACAAAATTTAAGATTTTGTAGAATGCCTATTATTATTTAAGAAAATAACTTTCTTTGATTAGAAGACATTTAAAGGTTATGATGAAATAATGTGTCTTGAAAATTAGTGGGAATTAAATAGTTTATTACTCTTAATCATTCAATGTATAATGATAAGATTTATGGATATGAGAAAGTTTCTTGGTTGCAATAGAGAAATCTTTAAACACATGCGTTATGAATTATATGAAAAATAATTTTTGTAAAAAACGCAATTATTTTTATTAAAGTTGATAAAGACTTGTCACTCTTGTATTTTTGTGTTTGATTAAAGTTTAAAGATCATATTACTTTGAATAATGGATAATGGAGGATTGTTTCTATTAGAATATTTTATATTTGATGGTATTAGTTATTTATATAGATAACTTGTTGAAAGAATTTAGTGAAAAAAATATATCCAAGGTAATTGTTGATCTACCTTATAAAAGTAAAAGTGACATGACGGTGAAATTATGAATAATGATTATAGTCATGTGTTATTATGATTATATCAACTAATTTATTGATCAAGAGATTTAACTTTATTAGTTATTTATGAGAATTATTTTGATATTTTTGATCAATGGAAGAAGTTGATTTCTCTGTTAATAGTGATACGTTTTATTTTACTTATTGTATCACTTATTATTTTATAACGATGCATGTGCATCGTACTAACGATTTTTATGAGCTCATATAGTTATTGATCTTGAGATCTTGAGGTATAAAGTATAAAGGCTTATTTGGAAGTGTATATAGACTTTTTTTGAAGTGTAAAGACTTTTTTTTAGAAAAGTGAGGAAGATTATCTCCTGAGTTTCTATAAAACTATAATAAAGTTTAAAGGCTTCCTTGAGGAAGTGTAAAAGGGATTATATCCTAATAAAAGGGTTTCTCTAAACCATAAAGAGGACCGTTGTGGTTTTGACATATTATATATTATATGGATCACATTGTATCAAACCACACTACATTTTATCACACCTATTGGAATTAATATTGGTGGAAATATTTGATACTTGTGATTGTGAAGGGTCTTGTGTTATTAGAGACATAATGACCGCACAGTTCGATATTGGTATTTTCATTGAACGAAATTCTGCACTGAGATTTTGATTTATATTTGTGGCCACTAAAGTTGTGTTTGACTCAAGAGTCATTTTTTTTAAAATATGTTTTGAAAATTTAAAACCGATTAGCGTTGCCCAAGTGGGAAAATGTTAAAAATTTTTATGTGGACTGCCGCTAATTGTATTTGGTTTTCAAAAATTGGGTCAAATGAAAAAACCGGTAAAGCCCAATAAAGTAATATGATCCAAGTGAGTTTAAGTTTTACCTCAGTTTTATATGGTGTGATATGAATAGGTGTAGAGTCTGAAAGCAAAGGTGGGCTACTTAATGGGGGTGCCCAAAAAATTATTATAATGGGTTAGATCCCTCTCTCATTCAGAAAACCCTACTTCTACAAATAAGAGAGTTAGGGAGTGGTATGACCCATTGGTTGTCATTATACAGAAGTTGATTAGAGAGAGGAAGACCTAAATCCCAAAATCTCAATACTAACTATATTTGTTTTGTAGATTTTGTCATGAGATCCCTAATTATGATGATTCTTGAAAATTCTTAGGTAATATATTGATTAAAGAGATTCAGGTATGTAATGTATTTATTTTATTAGATCTTGGTATCCTAAATTCTATATATGTTGATCCTTAAAGGGAATCGAACAAATCCTTCATCTTAAAAAGATAAATGTTTTTTTTTTAATTTATCATAAAATAATATTTTTTATTCCAAAATAAAATAAAATAAATCAAAATCAAAAATCAAAATTAACATTAATCCAACTAAATAGAACTTTATCACTTGTTTAGCTTTTTGTTTTTCTTTTTTAAACTCAATTTCAACACATATATTTGTAGGGTTCCTAGGCCAAATGGGGACACTACAGCCTTTTGTTTTGTTCTTTCAAGCCCCTTGGGAAGATGCGACCATTGAATAATGGGGGGCAGCCACCCCCCTGAGCTTTTAAAAATGTCTAAAAAGGTACATTAATTTTTGTTTACTACAGAATTTGTTTTTGACATTTGATTTAGGAAACATTTCAAGTCTCCAAAAAGTAATTAGGTGCTAGATAAACTGACCATTTCTCTTTGTGACCAATTCTTTAAGACATAATTTTATCTCGATATGGAAAAACATTTAAAAATAGCTAAGATCAATTTACATTAGTATAACTTACATATAATTTTAAATTAGTTGTAATTCTCTGCATAATTTATATTCTATCAAACCAAAAAATAGATTTGATATTTATTCGTGTAATTATATGAAAAAAGAAACTATTTTTTATATGAGATTAATTAGTTTTTATTTGTTAGACTTACAAAAAAAAAAAAGTCTTTATTTTCTCTAAAAATATGTTATTTTAATCTTTTTTTAATTAGAGTTAATGAAATGACATAATTTTAAACTGTTTTTTTTCTTAATTTAATGTTGTTCCAATTGATAAATATCTTTTTTTTATATACATTATTTATTTAAGGACATTAAACTAGATTTATTAAAAATAATTAAATATATATAATTAATTTAAAATTAGACATGTATAATATAAATAATATATTGGCTACAAAATTAGTAATCTGATATAAAGATCTGTATAAATTATACTAATATAAATCAATCATGACTTAGAAAAAGTTAAAAATTTCGTCCTCTAACCCAAAAGTCTTGGCTTTGTCCCTGCAGAAAAACCATTGATTGAAAATCTTTCTTTCCATCTGCAGTCTTCCCTCTCCCTCCTTTCTCTTTTCCGTTTCCCTTTTCTCTCTCTTTGTCCCCTCACGTTCATTTTTCTGATTGATTCCGGAAGGTGCTCCAGTTCTCCAGCAAAGTAAGGTACGTGTTCCGAGTTTATGTTAACTCCAAAACTTGTAGATTTAAAATAATTAAAAAAAAACAACTCCAACTTGGATTCAGTACTCAATTAAAATTTGTAAAAAAAATTTTTCTTAACCTAACGTTTGTTCACAGTCCATTTGGCTAAATTAATTTTTTTTATAAGTGCTTTTACTTAAGTTTGCCTCTTGCTTGTCCATACGTTCTGTGAACTTACCATGTTAGTATCAAAGCTAGGTTTCTTTAATGATTCTTTTTTTTTTTTTGAAATTAAGGCAAATAAATTTTATTAGATGCCGATAAAAAAATTAAAAAAAATTATTAGATGAGTATAAGAGTACTCACCAACTAATATACAAGTTAGAAAAGGCAAAAACCCTTCTTAAACCCCTTAATTTTTTTGACAGCAAGTGACAACCTCCTGAACTTAAAAAGTGGCAAATAAGCCCTCCAACCCCACGGTGGGTGCAAATCAGCCCCTCCGTTAACTGATTTCGTGACGCAGTTTGTCATCAGCTTCCGTGGCATTGCACCTGCAAGCCCTTGCATCTTTCTTTTTTTTTTCTTTACTTCATTTGTTTTTAGTAATAATATATTTTATTAATTAATTAATTAAATTAATATACATAACATCAATATTAAAATTAATATTAGTTTTTTTATTTTTCAATATAAATTAATAATAAAAATGTGTCTTTTAGGGCACAAATCTGGCACTCTAAATTTCAAAATTTCTTGTAAAATTATTTAAATATCGTTAATAAATATTTTTTGTGTTGATTTACTAAAGGTATTTCAATCTTTTCATTTTTATTTTTGACGTTTTAAATTTTCTAAAACAATTTTGAAATGCAATTAAAATAATATAAATGATAATAAAAATATTAAAATATCTTTAATAAATTAACAAAAAAATATTCATTGAAAGTATTTAAATAATTTTATAGGAACTCATAACATTTAAAATGTCAATATTTTTAAATTTTTGCTTTTAGGTACACCCTTTTATCATTAATTTATATAGAAGAACATAAAAGTTAATATTAATTTTAGTATTATTGTTACATTGATAAATTTAATTAAATAATTAATGAATTAAAAGATAATATTATTCTTTCAATATAAATTTATGA